CGCAGAGATGTCTAGGATTCATCTCTTCACGAGCATGTGATCGTTAGATTTGTGCTGCCCTTGGCTCCTCATCGTGCTCTCGCTTCCCTCCCCTCCCCACCGCAGAGGAGCCCTTCTCTGCCCCCTCCCGCCCCCGGCCAAGCTACCTAGTGCTTATTAAAGGCAAAAAACCCATCCAGGAACACGTGTCAGGGGCTGTGCAGTGGTTACTAATTAAACAGGCATGGAAAAAAAAAAGACATTGGGGTTGGCTGCAGAAGGAGTCTAAATAAAAGATGACATTTTCAGTAAACAGCACTTCCTCGCTAAGCCAGGCTGTTCACGGGGGGTTACTGACAGTCTGATAAATCCAGATCGCTGCACGCTGCCACGGGCTCAGCTGATAGAGCCACGTACCTGACAGCGAGGGGGGGCAAGGAGATGGGTTTTCAGAGGCTCAAATAAAATAGTTTTGGCAATTTTAGGAGAGAAAATCCACTGCTGCCTAAAAGAGGGAGCTAGGGAGGAGGGCTGGGCTGCTGGCAGAGCCACTGGGGCTTGGCAAACCCTGGTGAAGTCCCCATAGGGCAGAGAAGGGATTTCAGCTCCAGGCACCTCTCACCTTCAGGCCAGCTCAAGGCAGAATGAGTTTCCCATGGCCTCAGTTGCAGGGATGTCTCGCCAAAGGCTGACTCATCGCTCTGCCGCTTGCCTCTACATCCACCCTCTCATCAGGTTCCCAAAAGTTTCACCTACCCCTGCTGCCAGCTAGTCCTCAGAAGCACTGATGCTGCTGTAGGTGTGCAAGCTCCTCGCTGGGGCTTTGCACACCCACACACAGTCTGATCCACCCGTGTGCACTTCAGCATTGTCTGTCCCAAGCAGCTGTGTGAGTCACTGCCTGTGGTCAGGCTTGGGGCACAGCAAACAGCCCCAGCCCAGCTGCAAAGCCCACACCAGGTGCCTCACCACAGCAAGGCAACCAGGAGATGTTTCCAGTTCCTCTATTTATTATACACTCAGGAGGACACAGAGCTTCTTTGAGATCTAAAAGCGACTTCAAGGATGCTTGGAGAGACATAACCACGCAACAAGCCCACGCTGGCACCATCCCCACACATATGCCTGTTAACAACAGCTGCCCTGCCTGGTTATCTGCAGTGCTCCCCACAGCAGACCTTGGGGTCCACAGGTGTCATGATCACTGCATGAAATTTCCCCCACTGCCCCCTGACTCCATTAATGGGAACGAGCCAGGTCTGGCCACAGACCTACCCCTTGGAAAAATTCAACACAGAACTGAGGGCTCTGAGCCAGAACTCAATATTTTGGTCTCCACAAGCTATAAAATCTGCTGACCTTAGAGAACATCAGCACTGTGGCATTCAGAAATCTTACAGAATTAAAACCAGGGGTAAGATTTTCAGGGAGGTCATTAAAACTGCTAAAAACACTCTGCATCTGCAGCCACGAGGGTGATTTGGCCAACCACCTTCCTGCCCACCACTGGTTGCTGGTGAGCAGGATGCATCCCAATTTTTTTTTGATGCATACCCACCACCTTCCTGCCGACCACTGGTTGCTGGTGAGCAGGACGCATCCCAATTTTTTTTTGATGCATACCTGGGACAAAAAGCAGCAAACCAATTAAAAGCAGTGTAACTGTGGTAGGAGCTTGCAGCCCCACTTAAGGCAGCTGGTCCAACCAGCCTGTTCTCCTGGGCATCAGCACTGGTGGAAGATGCCCTGGCAGCAGTGGATGGCACAGCAAGGGACTGATGCTGCTGCAGGCCCATGTGTACAATGTGATTAACTTTGAGAAAAAGCTGAGTATGTTCAGCTGCTGCATTTGCCATGTTTAGACAACTTAATGAGACAAGCCAGAGGCAAATCACCATAGGCAGAACATGTGGCGAATCAAGAAGAATGACATAATTTGTCTTGCATTAACCAACTGCAATATACACATCTCCAGAACGAAGGATCAGGAAGGGAAGCTATTCCGAGCACGTCATATCTTTGTACGTACACAAAGAAATGCCTCTATCTTGAAAGCTGCCCAATTAACACTTGACACCCACTGTAATTGCTGATGCTCCTTGCTGCATTTATCAGATCATAGCACAACTGTAACGAGCTGCCTGAAAGGCCTGGCACATTGAGGTGAGAGCTGGTGGCAGAATTGGGAAGGACATAAAACACCCAGAAGGTTCCCACCACACTGGGGCTCATCCAGAAGGACAGACAGACACATGGAGATGTGCTCCCACTTAGGCAAACCCCAAAGCATTCAGGTGCAGAGGCAGCCTACAGATCCCCCCACACCAGCAGGACCTTTGCTGAAGACCACTGACAGCCCTGGTAAATCCTTTCATTTCCAAAGGCACAGCCACCTAGGACTTGGTTCCAATACTGATATCATTAGGAGTATGTTCCTTCCCGCAGAAGGAAACCAAAGGGTTCATCCTACATCTGCTGACCCCACCCATGCCTGCATTCCAATAAACAAAGAAACTCATTGGGAAGCAAACCCGAGCCATTACCTCTGGTGAGATCCTCACCAGTTGCACAGTCCCTCTGCAGCTCCACAGCAGGCAGCCCCTTTACATCACAGCCACTTTGCTCCGGAACAGCAGCTCTGGGTATGGCATGGGCAGACCATGGGTGAGGGGAGTGGCCTGGCTGCTTTCAGCAAGGCTCCAGCATGTCTAGGCTAGTCAGGGGGTGTGTTAGGACTTGTTGCCCAAAGGCCTTGGGAGGAGCAGGTGTGGAGATGGGACCCTTGAACAGAAAGCGCTGCGTGAGTTGGGATGTTGCTGGGACGTTGCTGGGACGTTGCTGGGGTAAAACAAGTTGTGCCTTAGGTTGACCAATTGGTACACACCTAATGTTTAGAATAAGCCAATCAGCAGGGAATATGCTAAGCAAAGGGACTAGAAGGATTTGTGAAAAACAACAAGAAATGGACATGTTACTTGCATCAAGTTGCGTCCAGTCCCTCCATCGCGGCACATGGGCACATCCCAGGGCAGAGGCACCTCCTCTGGAGTATCATGGCACATGGGCACTTCCCAGGGCAGAGGCACCTCCTCTGGAGCATATTTCAGCATGACTCAGTTGAAGAGGTGAAGCCCATCCCATACTAGTCCTCCAAGTGCATTTTTGGAGGGATCAAGCTGCCTTAACAAGCAAATGTGAACCACAAATGCTGTCACTGCAGGGCACATGGATTCAGAAGGAGAGCCATGGATGTGGCAGGCAGCAGCATTTGCCCCTACAGAACCTCCCTCCCCCCAGGCAGGGACACAGGCAGGCAGACCACGCTCTTACCCTGGCTTATGTTCCTCCAACAGGCCTGGAGCTAAAGAAATCTTCTCCACCAACAAAACCCTCCCTGCAGACTATGAAAATCTCCATTCTCACCTAGAAAGCATTTGGCTTCCAAAGCAAACTCCAGCCCCTTGTTTTTCCTTTGAAGAAACTTAAAATAGGCTTGGGAGGGGAAAGCAGGCAGGAGAGCAACTTCCCGGCCATGTGAGCTCCCGTGGGGATGACGAGCCGACCCCACGAGGCAGCCAAGCATCCAAAACCAGAGGAGGGAGAGTCTGGGATTTTGCGTGGGCTCTTCTTAAAGCGAAGTTTAAAAATGGAAGAGAAGGAAACACAAGAGTTATTTTGAGAAAGCAGATCTGAAATTAGGAGGCGGCACTTTCTTGGACCGACTCCAGCCACGGCTCCATGCAGCACAAAGCTGCTGCAACTGAACCGTGCTCCCGGGGTTATTTATAGCAGCCCGTAGGCAGCAGTGCTGGGGAATGGAAGGGTTTCTATTTGGGACCAGGCATGTCCCACATGGAGGCATGCAAAGCTCTTCCAGAGGCAGGAGACTGCGCACAAGAAGGCACTGGGAGAAGTTCCTGTCCTGGCAGCATGATGTCCCGGGGACAGGCAGAGCTGTGGGAGCAGCATGGCAAAGAGGCAGGAGTGGATGGAGTGGGATTTTGTTGAAATCAAAGTTCTGGGAAAGTGTGGCTGAAGTCAGCAGAGATCATGGAAACCCTCAGGCAAGACATGTCTCTACATGGAGCAGAAAGCAAACAGGCTCTGGGGGGATTACAGGCTCTGCCTCTGTCAAGATCTGTTGGGACCAAACCATGACCTGGCTGTACCCATTCCCTGGGGAAAGTTTTTGCTCCTATGACCACAGGTAGTAATTTTTTTCCCCTTTAAACCTCAGCATCCTCTCTCCAAGAGCCAAACAACCCCAGCAATTTCCTGCCCTCCCTGCAAAGCAGGTGGGATGAGCCCTGGTGCTGTGCAAGTGAAAGCAATTCTTCCCTCTCCAGCTCCTGCAGCCAGCAGGGATGGCCACCACAGTGCTCCCAACTCAACCATGGGAGCCCAAGGATGAGTGTCCTCCCTGGGCTTTCCTTGAACCTTAATGTTCCCAGAGCATAAGGGGACGTTTGTCAGCCTCACTGGTATGTGCCTGGCCCCTTACACCTGGCCCAGGGGCTGATGCTCTCCAGGGGTGCCCATGGGATGCAGATGTTCTCCACGCTCTCCTACCTCCCTGTGCCTAGCTAGAGCCATCTCCCCAGCACACCAGTGGTGACAGTGCCCTGTCCCCGAGGCTGGGGACAGCAGATGATGCAGTGGGGGTTACAAATGACTCATCACAACTAGTAAGAAAACAGCAGAAACG